TGGCGAATAGGCTACGCTTTCTGCCGGCACAAAAACCATAAAAACGTTAGTAAATATTGATTGCAATCGATTGTAAGATCGTATTTTCCGTCTTTTAGTCTGGAATAGGGTGTACAATTCTTAGTTTTAGTCTGGGGTAGGGTAGGGTATGTAAAATCAAAATTTTAGGTCTGGGATAGGGTCAGGGTTTTGAAGTCCTGGCGGCACACCCCTACCCAAGTTGGGGGGGGGAGACCCCCCCCCCCCCCCCCGGGTTCATGGCTAATGCTTCGCCTCTCATCAGTGCGGCCCGGGTGCGAGTCCTGCCGGGCTCGGTGTTGTATGTGAGTAGAGTTGTTTGTTGATTCTCTCCCGCGCTTCGAGGGTTTTTCTTCGAGTTCTCCAGTTCCAAAAAACAACTTCTGAATTCTTTGGCCTTACACCTAGTTGGAGCCTAGCTCTAATGTGATTGTCCCAAGATGTGATTCAATCTCAATCAATAATTATGTAAAGTCATATATGTTTTTGTTTTTGATGACTGTTGTATTTCTTAGTTTTCTCTTCCTTATAGCTAATACTTTTGAATGTCATTGCCAATTTTTGTATAATGGTGGTGCTGACTGGCTCTAAAGTGGCTGTTATTATAAGTTGGCATTGCAGTGCATTGTGGGGTTGTTTTAGTGGACATACTTCCAAGGCGTTTATTTCGCCCTGAAAACATTCCCACGATGCACCTTTAACATCGGGCCTAAATAACCGACTTTTATCGGTTCTAATATACATATGCAAATTCCAAGCTAAAGTACAAACACTAAAAGTGTGCTATTTCCAAGCTAGAGTAGGCTAAAAGTGTGCAACACTTTGCACTATTTAGTACAAAATAGTGCTAATTAAACAATAGAAAACAATAGGATTAGCATAATTTAGCAGTATTTAGTGGTATTTATGTTACACACTTATAGTGTTTGTACTCGCTAACGAAAACTCAAATAGTCTTCCTCGCTGAGCTAGAAGTACATGCTAAGCGTACCGTTCTTGAAAAAATGAAAATTCCCTAGTGGCCATCTACAGCAGGTGTTTCTCAAAACGTTACCTTATGTGCTTAATTTAAGATACAAGTAATGTTATTAGTGGAAGATATCCATCATTTGTCTAAATGTTCTGGTGGCTTCTGATTAAAAAAAAAACAAAACAATGGCGGCTAGTCTATTCGCGTTTTCAAACAATTTTAAGATTGTTTGTATTTATTTATTTGACCGATATAAGAAGTCGCACTACCACGATTCCAATTCGTTCCAGTTCTTGTCATGCTCTAGTTTCTCATCCCATACATACCGCTGATTTTGAAGACCACAGACTCATTTGCACAGGCTTAGTCTCGTTAATATGTCAGCTATTCACAGATGCCAATAAAAGTCTGTGAGATTTCAAAACATTGGTATTTTTCAACTTGCACATTTTTTACATTAAAGTTGCCCTTTAGCGGTATTTACCGAACGAGAAAAGGAACTATTTCCCAAGCCTTTAGATGAGTACAATTAATTTTTCAAAGAACTTTCAAATCATTTTTGGTAATTTTCATGTGCCTTTATTAGATTACTAGATTGTTTTTGTCGAATGATGAATCTCCCTTGTCACTGTCGCTTTTATTCAGTATCCATCTAGACTAGTCATAATATCAACTTAATTACTCATACATATGTAAAAAGGAATGTTCTAGCTATATAAATAATAGATATATAGAATTGCTTTTTACGCCGCGCATAACAACAGCTAAGAAACATTAAACCTATACACCTAGCTAGAGTGCTCACACTAAATCCGTGAAACAAATACTAATTTTTAGCACTAAAGAGTGATAAAAAAAACAAACAATAGAAAACAAAGGATTCTGTATGAAATAGTACTAATTAGTACTATTTAATGTTCACGGTTTTAGTGCGTGCACTCTATCCTGGTTGGACTTTAACAGCCAGACAAAAGAAGCGTCGCCGGACGCAAAGAAATCTTTTTTCAAAATAGTTAACTCAAGAATTAAATTAAACTTGAAAAAAAGAACTTTAATCATTTTTAAAATACTTTTGTTTTGTTTTCAGTTGTATTCAAGTGAAGTTTTAACTGTTTAATAAACGAGCAGGAGTGTAAAACACGCGATCTGCGAGTTTGTTGAACTATTTCAAAAACTTAGGTATAATTAATTCACAAACCTTTGATCGAAGTAGAGAGACAATATACCTTGCTAACATTAACTTTTATATTTAAATAGTCGTTTGTACATCAATGTCATGCGCAGTGAGGTTTGTACGTCACTGCCATGCGCAACACAAGTTGAAGTCAACATACCGAACTCAAGACAACATCTTATGGGTCGTAGATGATCGTACGTGAGACTGACGTTGAATAGGCTTTAAGTCTTGAACTAAACTTGGATACACCTTTATCTCTGATAAGGTCGTCCTCATTAGTATTCTTTATATAAAGAATACTAATGAAGAGGACTTTATGGAGTTTTAAGGTCCATGCATGAGCACGTGACGTGTATGGCCGCTCCAATTGGTTCAAATGCTCATTAATTATTCATGAGGTTTTGAATTGACATTCATCCAAGTAGTAGGAACGAAGAACTAAGACTATGTAAAAATAGCACAGAAATTAAATTCACCAAATAATCTAGTGGTTCTATACCTTTATCTTTTATCTTTCTGGATATACTTTCCAATCTACGGGCAACCCTGAGGGGAATTGGCCTAAAATTGTTGGCAGAACTTTTCTTTTTCCTCCCGTCCAAAAAAACAAAAACAAAAAAACTTCGTACTATTCAAACGGATATTCATTATGTGGGAAAGGTATTTCATTCTCCTCTTTGGAAAGAATATTCTTATACTCTCAGTAAGATTGAAGCATAAATTTCACAATACAGTATGAGTTTGTTTTCAGTTCTGAGAGGAACCATCAGTCTCATATACATCATTCATAACGATATTCAATTTCAAAATGAATACTACTTAGAAGACTGAGCGTCGTAATGGGAGTAAACATGCATAATGGAGGTTTATAAGTACATAGTAATTACAGGTGTAAAATATCGACTGACTAAAGTTACGAGTTACATCGTCATTATATATCCTGCCTGCATGGCTGGGGGATAGATTCATGTTATCATGATCCCCTCTTGTTAGTGGTCATGGTTATTACTGAGCGTGATTCCCCGGTCATTTTCATATTATTAACTGAATTTTTAGTTAGTTCTCGAAAATTATAACGTTTTAAAATGTATATCTTTTTATAAATATACTATATTTATAATATATATTTATATTTTCCATAACTTTTATGATCATTAGTTTTGGAGTAATGAATTATTTTATGCGAAGCTTGGCTCAGTTCCACTATTTTTCTTTCAAAAACTTTCGAAGAAAATACTATTCAAATTTCATCATTATCATGTAAATGAGCTCGGGACACCCCATGGTCTTTTTTATTAATACCATAGAATTTCACGCGTAATTTGTATTTTGACATGTGAAATTTCAACGTTGCCATAAAACAAAATGGCGTCTATAGATTGTCGGAGACTGTGAAGAGGAGGAAAACGATTATTTCTATCGCCGAAAAAGGCAGCAGAGAATTCGAATTAAAATAACAAAAAACAGGCACCGAAAATTGATGGAAAGTATTTCAAAACTGGTGTGACGATCAAAAGAGTGAAAAAATCCCGGCAAAATACTAGCTAGACGAGCTGAGCTGAGAGGAAGTCTTACGGCAAAAGCTAGAATTTTTGTAAAGTATAAGTCATTTGCAAAAATATAACTTTACTGTAAAACATTTGTTGCTCTTGACTTTTTTATTTCTAAAGAGAAAAAGCATGCTTAATCTGTGACTTAAGATATTTATGCCGTGGCTATCTTAAAGTCGTCGGAAATATTTTCCCATGTTTATCGATAAGGCTGTAATTCTACCGACTCAAATAAAATAAAGCTTGTAAGCGTAATTTGTCCTGAAGAAAAAGAAAACGCGCGCGCGTGCTGTGTGGAGAATTATAAAACTTGCGGGAGTTGGCACAGAACACGAAAGAAATGTTAGGAGAAGCACGAGGCGTAGCGGAGGAAGGCTCTGGAAACCACTCCTCTTTGACAAAAACGCGTGAAATTTATCCCAAATTTCACTCTCGTCACCATTTTCTCTTTAAATTACCTATACTGATTTCAAATTAAGAAAATACTACCGTGTGGACGAGAATGCTTTTGAAAACTTACGGGGAAAAATCCATTTTCAAAAATATTTGAATACGTGTCTACTTGTGGACATGTTCGTGGGATCATACGCCTATTTCAAAAAAACGTTGTCGGTTAACTGTTGGAGATGATCTGAAATCTGAGACCGAGTAACACAAGTAATATTTCACCAGCCGAGCAACGTAGTTTCCTTTTTGGTTAGGAATATGAAGCAAGACCGGGGGGGGGGGGGGGGGAATCAATCTGCGAAGAAAGATATGCCCAAGAGGTATATGATTGGATGACCTAAATGCGTTGCGGAAATAGAATGAGGGAGAACTCATTGCTTGCCCCACTATGCCCCACGAGCCTAGACCAGCTATAATTATCTTATTGAGGAATTTTGGACCCCTATACGCGCTACCTCAAATTTTGCTTGTTTTCCCATAACAGTAATATATTCTGAAAACATGATAATTTAAAAAAATTATTCGAAATGATCATGATTATTTTTTCGCTTTAAACGTTCGACAATCCCCCAGTATTAACTATGCAAAAACACAGTGACAACGGTACCACAGTTCCGGCGTATTCAATGCCCTAAGACCATGGCAGATACTAGATGTTACATTCTAGAGACACCCAGAAATGTTTGTATCTTGACTTGAACGAGATTTTCGTAAAGTCAGATATTTAACGTCAGATTTGGTTAAGTAACATTGAGGACACTCGAACCGTGAACACTTCGCGTTTTCCTCCCACGTCATTATTTCCTGAACTTATTTCTATTGTTTCAAAACTTCTAAGTGAAAATTTGAGTTCAAATACACCGAGAGATCAAAAAAAAAATTTTTTCTTTCCAATCGATTGGCTCAAGGGATGATTTACATGGCATTAAAAAGCTACTAAGGTTCATTTTCGCGGTCTTCACTGTAAAAGCCAAGAGGATTCTGAAATATTAGATGCATCTTACCTTTACAAAGCTGAATAACGGAAAACAAGCTAATGATAAAGAAGAAGACTTGCAGAGTTCCTCTCCAAAACATCCTGCCTCTCGCTCGAGCAGGCTAGCTCACACATTATACTTGTTCATAGAATGTCAAAATTAATATAGGTCTGGAGTAGAACATTAATTATTGATCACATAAGAGCTAATGCTCAGTTAGTAATGACTATAGACAATAGCTGTCCAAGTCTGTTTTGAAGTCTAAACTGGATATATTGATGGCCGTTATGGCATTTCGTTCACATTGTGATCAAACGCAGTCCAATTTTATTCTATACGCAGTCCACAGTTATACTATTTTATGGATATACGGTTTTCACTCTACCAACTATCATTGGTTGACGAAAACCAAGTTCTCTTAGATCGAGCTAGATTATTTTAGTGTTATTTGTATCTCAAGGAATTTCATGTGGTTGCACCCCAAGAATTACCATTATTTATTCATAATTTTGCGTTTCTTAATTATTTTATTTACATTTTTCGAGCTCCATTCTTCATCGAACTCGTATTACTCTGCACTTCCCTACTTTGGAGATACTCCGGTTTTAATTGCTAGGTTCACTCAATGTCATCTCTTTTATTTTCGGCTCGTGCGTCAAATGTTCATCAGCCTAGTTTATCTTAGCTTGCCGTGCAGACGTTTTTAGTGTCAACAAACGTCGTTTGTGGGGAGGGGAAGGAACGAGCAGACCGACACTTAAAACGTCTGCACGGCAGGCTAAGTTTATCTAGTACTCTAGAAGATTCGTTAATTTTCTAATTCTTGTTTTTTGTTTTTTGTTTCTTTAAGTTTTTGAGTTTAAAGTGCCTATCCTCCTTCTGAATGTATTGATTCTACACGAGGTAAGATGTTTAATAATCCGAAAAAAATTATAGTTTGAGTGCGACTTCTTGAAGTTCTAAAGGGTTTTCCATGCAATATGCTTATGTTTAATCTTACCCCAAGTAGAATCAATACTGTGAATATTGTCAGAAGGGTGATAGGCACTTGAAGTAATTTGCACAGCGTTTCTCGAGAACGCACGCAGCGGTACGGGAAAGCAGTCCATCAACTTACAAACTTTTCCTACCATATTCTCGATGATGTTGTTTGAAAAGCAATACTTCCCAAGTAGTATTGGATTCAAAATGCTAGGACTTTTATTCATTTTAATAAATTTATTATTATTTTTGAATAAAAGAGGCTACCTATAATCACAAGGGGTCTCTTAATGCGACACCTGCTCACGCATGCGTTCTTCAAATGATGCATGTGTCTCAAAAATTGTATATTTAAAATGATATATAATTCGGCTATTTTTGAAAGTCAGTATCTTCAATATCTGCAATAAGTAAACACCTATTTAAAAAAACGTTGTCAGTCCTGGATCTGAAATGGGTGATACGCGGCGTACAGAGCACGAGTGGACAAACTGTCTGGCCCTAAGTCTTTTTGGAGCTTGAAAGAACGAGGCAAACATTGCGGTGAATTGAAATTTATTTTTACTTTCTATATTTCTGCTTCTTGTAGGAACGTATATGATATTTTACTCAAAAGAAAACAGAAATAGTATGCAAAAGTTGGGTTATACACTAGCATGGGAATGAGGGTCGGCGGCAAAGCGCGCTGTGATTGGCAGAAACCAAATTCACCGCTCAGTTGGATGTTTACTAGGGGCATGTTACGTCATAGCTGCCATGTTGGTTGACCAACAAAGGAACAAACGAAATTGGCGCTGTTTCATTGCTACTTATATCTTATCAAGGGATTTTGAGTCACGTGGTTACACCGCTAGAATTCATAACCGTGCACATAAAAGGCCAGTTCAGACGGTACGATTTTCGCCTATAACTATCGTATACAACACGCTCGCGTCTGTCGTAGGCGAGTTGTAGGCTTGATTTACACGCTACGTCTCGAGTTGTAGGATGGCGCGAGCGTGTTGTATACGATAGTTGTAGGCGAAAATCGTACCGTCTAAACCGGCCTTTTATGTGCATGAGAGCATATTCAAAATATAAAATAACAATGATGATGACGATGATGATGATGATGATGATAATAATAATGATACAATAAATTTTAATAATAATATACAATATCTAAATATATCTGCAACAAATCAATAAATAAAATAAAAAAAGAGAAAAAGAAAAACTATAACAAAATAATAAATAATTATGAAACAATAATAATAATGATGATGATGGTGATGATGATGATGATGATGGTGGTGATGATGATGATGGTGATGGTGATGATGATGGTGGTGATGATGATGATGGTGGTGATGATGATGATGGTGATGATGATGATGGTGATGATGATGATGATGGTGGTGATGATGATGATGATGGTGATGATGATGATGGTGATGATGATGGTGATGATGGTGGTGATGATGGTGGTGATAATGATGATGGTGATGATGATGATGGTGATGATGATGGTGGTGATGATGATGATGATGATTATCATTATCAAAATAAACATCTCTAGTAGTAAACTGGATTTTAAAAAACTATTGCGTTCTAAAAACTCATCAAAATGATTTTTTTTCCACTCTTGTCCTCCCTCCCTTATCATTATCATTATTATTATCATTATTATTATCATTATTATTATTATCAAAATTCTTGTAGTTTACCGAGTCCAATCCATGGGCCTTGGGAAAACAAGAATATATTTACAATACGAGGTATAAGTAAAATAAAAAATAAAATAATCAATTAAAAGGGAAAAAAGAAATCAAGTAATCATGAGAGTTGATGATGTGCGCAGTTCCAAGGAGAGCAATCTTCTGTACTTCTGTGATACAGATGTCTATCCACTTTTAAATGGTTGACATATTGCTCTAGTCCTTTGTGAATTAACCCCAGTGCCACAATGACAATAGGTATGGTTTTTGTTTCCATACCCCACATTTTTTAAATTTCTATTTCTACATCTTTGTGCTTCGAGAGTTTTTCTACTTGTTTTAGGGGCACATTTTGTTCTGCTGGGATTATTATTATTATTATTATTTATTACTATTATTATTATTATTTATTTCAACTTTTGATTTATATTAGATAAACAGAATATTGCAGATATTATAATTTCTAAAATAAACATCTATTGAAGTAAACTACATCTTGCCATTCTTGTCCACCCATCTTTTGTTCTTACACTTGTAATTTGATTCCAAATTTTCTGAATGAAAATACTGCTTTAAGAGTTTCCAAGGTTTGTTTGGACAAAAAGTATCTAGTCCCATGAACTTACAAGGTTTGAGAGGAAACATGTCTTTTTTATCATAAGTCTTTAAGTCTTCCTCAGAGGGGTCCTCTAAGTAGTTGCCTTTGTCATAAAAGTGGTAGAAGTCAATGTGAAGGTTTGTCTTCACAAGCCGAGCCAGGGGTTCTTGGAAGGAGCAGCTGTCAACCATTACTGGAGTTAACTGCATAAGAATTTTAAGTAAATGAGACAAAATAATTACAATTTTTCATAAATTCAAAATAAATGCCCCTAAAATCAGTGGCGGATCTAGGGGTGGGTTTTGGGGGTTGCAACCCCCCTATGAAAGCCATCATGATTTATTATTATTATTTTCTTCATGACAACAGGGGTGCTGAACACATTTCGCTCGCTTTTTTTTCTATACGCCGTGTGTGGGACCTGAAACAACCATGCTCTCCTGCAGCAAATAATCATTATCATAAGACCTACTTCCATTTGGGAACCCTGTGCTACTTTCCCGCCAAACAAGTACCTCAATCAATGCTACAACCCCCCCTTTGAAAAAATCCTGGATCTGCCCCTGAAAATTCATACTATACACTACAATCCATACCCGTCTTTTCCACAAACTCGTAACAATTCTAATAGAGGTTGACTTGATGGCAATCATGGTAGATGGCAGGAACAATGCAATCATTTTACATAAGAAAGAATTCAATTTTCAAGGGGAAAAAAGGGATTTTATTTTTCGAATTCTGCCATGCAACCACAGGTAGCCCAAGCTGTATTATGGGCATTAACAGGTGATGTTGTAAAACCTCTATGGTTATCATAAAGATAAGGAAAGGGATCTGGGTAGGGTCTATAATGGGCAGTCAGGGTTGCTTGTTATTAAAACACTCTTGGCCCCATGAGAGCTAAGTTGGTTAGTTCCCTTTCTTACTCAGGGTTTTTTTGCATCCCTTCGGTTTTTCCTTCCTACTTTCAACATCACCCCTAACTAATACAAACTGGTTAGAGCTGTGCTCCGGGGTCATACATGGACTGTATAGTGGTGGCAGAAGCACCTTCACATGCTTTCAGTTTGACCCCGTAGAATGGCACCACTGCTGTACTTTGCGGTGGTGATTAATGATGACCAGTTTTTTCTTTTGGTATTTTTCTTTATCATTAGGTCAGGTGTTCTAGCATCAGGGGCAGATCCAGGGGTGGTAAGAGTGGTGACAAGTCTCCCCCTTTTTGCTCAAATTTCTCAGTATATTGTTAGTAACAGTCACCTCCCTTTTCTGTGAATTCATAGTAAAAGTTTCAAATCACTGCTATATTCTTTGATTAAAGACTCATTTACTCAGGGTGAGCCTTGTATCAGTGTCTAAATATTCACAAATACCAACTGTAAAGTTAAGAATGTAGAAATTCAACAATACAGACACTTTTAAATATTCCCAAGGACGTTCACAGAAACACATGAATATTTTATACAAAGTCAAGGCTAACCCTGAGCAACAGAGAACTCAAAACTAGAGTATTTGTATCTATAGTTTTACTGAGCAGTGCATGTACCTTTCCTTGACAAGTGTATCTTTTTCTTGCATTTGACGACACATCATGGTCAAATTCAGGTTGAACAACGAGCCTTATTTTTCCATCACTGACATCAAAATCCCTGGCAACTGCTATTTCCTTCATCATTGGAAAATATTTCACATCCATAAGTAGATCAATATCAGAGTCATAAGGAATAACATCGCCTGTTCTCAAGGCTCCAAGTAATGAGCCATAAAATAGAATATATTCAATATTATGCTTCTTTGCTATCTTCACCCACTCTGTAAACAACTCAAGTAAGGTTGCTCTCCAAGGGTTTGGTGGGCATCCAGATTCCCCATATACCTCTGACCAGGAAGAATGGGAGGTAACTGGTACTGGTAATGTTATTGGTGTGTTCGTTGGTACTGAAGGTGATGCTGCAGAATGGGTTGTTAATTCCTCTAGGCTTTTTCTCGTTTCTGGCAAATTAGTGGGTTTAAAGACTGCATAATTTCTGTTCTTTTTCTTTATCTTCCTTTTTGACTCTTTTGCTTTGTTGAAATGCATTGATTTTGGAGTTTCTGCAGTTTGATTTAGGGATAGCTTTTAGTTAAATGTACATGTTCCCAACAAGAGGTTTTTTTGTGTGGAGTTCAGGGAAATGGGATAAGACCCTCTTACTATATAATATGTGTAATATGAGGTATAAAGCAAACGATTGAAAACCCTGCATTCTGACTGGCTAAAAAAAAGAAACATATCTATATTTAGAACTTCTTTAAATTAAGAACTGTTTCCCTTGACTGGACAATAGATCGCTTAAAATATCTTACTTTTTTATTAACTTTCTAAAATTATCCAATGTATACAAATTAAGACCTCCATCGTTAATCTATATTAATATTAATTAGGCTGAATAGACGTTCAGTTTTTTTGTGCAGTAACCACTATTAAAACGAGGTAACCAGTATGACGCATAAATAACAATGAATATATTATTATCATTCTTGTGTGAGCCAGGCGTTACTCATAGAAACTACCCGACTTTCTTTATCATAGTGCTAATTCAGATAGATTTACCTTTATTTCTTTTCTCAATCTTGCTGTTTTTCTTTTTTCTCTCACGAAAGCTATCTCCAGAAGATTTAACCTTTATCTTCGATCCTTGATATCGATGGCGATTTCCAGTTTCTCCAAGATCGATTTCTTCATCGTGATTACCAACGTTTTTCTTTCCATTTAATCGTAAGATTCTGTTCAACTTTTTACTATAATGAACGCTAGCATTGCCGAAAGAAATTCCCATTTGCCAAGTCAAGAACAGAAACACAAGTCCAAAAGCGAAAAGGACGAGAAGACGAAAGTAATTTTTCGTTAATCGATACATTAAAAAAAGTCTACTATTTGTCTTTGGAGATGAATGTTTTTCTTGGTTAGTTAAAGTTTCTTCATGAATTAACGTTCATGAATGCCCGTTTTCAGAATCAAAAACAGTTACTGAACGCCATTGAACGTAAATTTTAGGAAAAAGCTGTGTGATGTACTGTATGCATAATTACATGTAATTATAGTTATATGTAATACATAACTTACGTTAACGATTACGACTCGTCATGATCGACATATCAATTTACTATGGGGGGAGGGGTGTGTATAAGCGTAATATGAAAATGAAACGATTTGCCTCAAGAATGCCTAATGAGATGCGAAAAATCTGTACCGATTGATGTGACAGAATAATATCTTTCAAAACCTTTCATTCATAAGGAACCATTCATTATTTACTAAAGGTGAAGAGTGTGGATTTGGGTGGGAAAATTGGTGGTTTGAAATTTAAGTGACCCAGAAAAATTTGGAACCATAAAATTTTGATTACCAATGCTTTCATTGCTATGTGCCAATCGAGACAACAGTTGCAAAATGGAAATCCACCAATAGTAGGAAGCAGTACTGCATAATTTATTCCATTAATTATACAGCTTCTCCTTAGGTAACTGTCCAATTATTTTCTTAATTGGACAGGTCTTGTTGATATGGGATTAATTAGGCAGCTATATAATTAATAGGTAATGGGATTTTATGCTCCCTAATCAAGAAATAATAAGACTCGAAAAATTCCTCTGACTACCAAATTGGACTCGGCCTACGGCCTCATCCAATTTTGTCAGTCCTCAGAATTTTCCTCGTCCAATTATTTCTTAATTGGACGGCATGGAGTCCTATTACATATACTAATTTGACAGCAGTGTATTGCCTGATTTTGTGTGTAATGTTGTCTCGATCAGCGCATAGCAACGAAAACAGTGGTAATTTGCTAACCAACAAATTTTATTGTTCAAAAATCATGACTAGAAAAATGATTAATTTATGAGCAAAAATAATAATAAGCAAAAATTAGTTTTCGAAAGATAATTGACAGGAATTTTTTTTTTTAATTTATCAACTACCAGAGATTTGGCTTCATATTTTACTTTAAAAAATAATTCCAGGTTTCATTTAATATGTATAACCCCTATTTCCTTTTCCTATTGCATATTTGTAACTGCATTTTTCAAAGGGTTATTGAATCCTTCCCTGTGATTTGGTCTGACAGTTTGAAGCTGATGATTGATTTGGGTACCCAATGGAACTAGCTAAGTAAATAATAAAGACCGGTTGGTTCTGGACTTTACTATAGGCATAGTTTCTTTGCTAACTCTGACATTCATTAATCATTACTTATTCATGAATAGACCCCTTTTGAATTCCAAATTACCGCTGTGTTTCTTGATTACAGACTCATTTGCACAGGGTTAGCCTCGAGTTTGTGCAGAATATTCACGTGTTCCAGTCAAAGTCCGTCGAGTTTCAAAGTGATTGTATTATTGAAGTTGTGCATTCTTTACTTTACCGTTGGTATTTGTGAATATTTAAGCAATGATGTGAGGCTAACCCTGTGCAAATGAGTCTGTAATCAGGGAACACAGCGGTAATTTGGAATTTGAAACTGGTCTATTGCTCCTTTCCTTTGTTATCATGTTTGCTTTTGGGGTTGTTTTTCTCCCTTTTTTTAGGACTTGCAAATCTGATGAAGAAACTGAAGAATAGACCCCCTCATTAGGCTAACTTGGTCTCTCCTCAGAGCATTGACAGTGCTTGATCAGTTGAACCCTTGCAATCAGTGCTAGTGGGCCTGCAGACTTCCCACCCAAGCAATGCATCGGCTGCTATGGAGCTCGAAGAAAGTCTTCAGGTAAGTGCTCTGCCAGCACAAGGCAAGGTAAAACATTATCTTACTGCTGAACCTGTTAGTCCCTTTGACTGACAAATACGACATGGTTAGATGAGGTTGGGTGTGTCTGTGGGTGGAATGGGGGCAGGTTGAGGGAGGCAGGAGGAGTGATTAGGACCACCCCATACGCCAATGTACCCTGCAGTTCTTGAGGAGCCAGAGAGCAAATTCTACCTCCTCTTGCTTGCATCACTGCAGAGCAAGGGGTGGGGAAAGGCCTGAACTCAGCAAATCCCATGCAAAAAATGCCTTGACATCCATAAAACAGCACAGTCCTTTTGATAAATCACATTAGATTTATTTTAATATTAATTGCAATTATCTTTTACTTTTTTTCTATATTTTGTCATATGTTTTATATATTCATTGTGAACCACCCTAGTTTGAAGCAAGTCTGCATTTGATTCATTTGATATCTTCTTTATGAAAGTATGATATATTTATCCTGGGGAAAATCTACCTCTGGAAACATACCTTATCTGCTTCATTTTGCCTATATTAGGGTCTTCACAAAAGATAACTGCTATTGCTGTGCAATATCGTAAAATGTGATGTAAAGATAGCAGATCTGTTCAATCAATCAAAATCAATCAATCAATCAATCAATCAGTATGTAAGTCAGTCAGTCAGTCTATCAATCAATCAACTGAATAATCAATCAATCAAAGTAATAGGATTTAAAGTTTCCTATTTTGTGTCATAAGTAGCCCAGTTAAAATAAAAGTGTATGACTTAATTAAATTTTGAAAAAAGAAAACATTCATTGAAATTTTTTTATTGCATATCTGTGGCCAAGAGAGTATGATAAAAATACAAGTAAATGAAAAAATCAAGAAAAAGTACAGTAAAATATTTTTTGTGAAACCTAATTTTTTCCCTATGGTAGAGTGTATACATAATATAGTAATCATATATATCATATACAGAGTATGCTGATTCTCTACATCCTATCTAAATACTTTATTTTCAATTTATTTTTAACTCCCATAAGAGAGAAAAGATGTTTCCTGTATAAACATTCCCTCAAACAATCTTCTGGCTGAGGCTTTTTACTCAAAGTTGAAATTGGAATTTATTGTCAATGTTATTTCAATGGATATAATCAAAGCAAAAATCCTCAAATCATGGTGGGAAACACCTTTTCAAGCTATAAAGAAAATTCCCTTTTTCCTATAAATATATGCAACATTTGCCAAAGATTTTAGTACTGAAAATACTTTTTAGAAAGTAATTAGCTGATCATGCATCAATAAAACAAAAATTCTTTTACTGAGATTATTTTTCTGAATTCGTGCAATTTAAATTAATTGCAATGACCAATTAATTAATAATATAATTGTAAGCACGGTTTATTAAACTTTTATAATCAACATTTTTCTAGATGTGTCATTGATATAGGAAATACCCCCATATTCCAGAAGAATCAATGAAATGAAAATGACTTAATACAGGCATCTCAGCCACTTTTTAGACAAATTTGATAGGAAATATAGGCTGTGCAAGTTCTAAATATAGGAAAATATAGGATTTTTTCCCAAAAATATATGCACTTTATAGGAGCTACAATAGCTTTTCGGTGCCATAACCAGGGATCGGCCATAAAAAAACAGAAACAAAAAAAAAAGGGGCTATTTTATTTCCTTCGCCAAATATGCTAAACAGTGTAAAAATATGGAAATATAGGAGGTTTTCTTTAAATATAGGTTCTTTATAGGATCCTATACAAATTATAGGAAATATAGGATATATAGGAGGTCTGGGATGCCTGCTTAATACTAAGAAGATATAACTAGCTAAAAAGTAGCGCTTAATACTAAAGTAATTGTGTAGCATGACACAGGGCCGTAACCAGGGGGGAGTACAGGGTGCACATGCACCCCCCTATAAAAGGTTAAGGTCCGCTCATCTATCTCCTTTTTCTTTATTTTTTTCTTTTTTTTCTTTCTTTTTTTTGGTTCTGCATTTTTTTGATTACATTTATTTTTTTTGGTTCTGCAAATTATTGCGTGTGCACCTCCCTGCAAGATCCCTGCTTACGCCACTGAGTTGGTAATAAAAACTGATCAATGGTCTGATTTTATTCGATGTGCACCCTCCCTGTAAAAGTTCTGGTTACGGCCCTGTGAAAATATGGCCAGTTAGTACTTCATGTGAGACTACATGAAATGGCATTATTGGATTATTTATTATTGATTATTGATTATTGATTATAACCTCCTGAAACCCTAATCCAAACCCTAACCCTAACCCAAACCCCAAAAATGCATGAAATTAATTGATTCAACAGCCACCAGTGTGTACAATAAATCGATGGCATGGATTAAGAAAAACTGGTACAATTATCGAATAACCTGCACTTCAAACCATTCCTTTAAATGTCTGGATACCCGGATATGCAGTGAAGAAGACCATTCATATCTATAGGGGAGGGGTGGTCTCAGTCTTCACTGCGTACCCGTGTATCCGCTTCAACATATACTTTCATATCTATAGGGGGAGGGACGGTCTTCTTCACTGCATATCCAAGTATCCACTCCAACATAAACCTTCATATCTATAGGAGGAGGGGTGGTCTTCTTTACTGTGTATCTGCGCATCCACGTATCCACTTCAACATAAACCTTCATATCTATAGGGGGAGGGGTGGGCTTCTTCACTGTGTATCCGCGTATCCACTCCAAAATATGCCTCATTCTTTAAAAGTTAATATTCCGCATATGCATTCATATCTACAGGGGGAGGGGTGGTGTTCTTTACTGCGTATCTGCGTATCCAAACATTTAAAGGAATGGTTTGAAGTGCAGGGTATTTGCTAGTTACTCCGAAAAACTTGACACCCAATCAACTTGATTCATTATTATCACATAAATTTTAACTAGAATCTAATAACTTAATAATTATCTATTGCAGCAGAATCAAGTTCAACTATAAATAACTTACATTTTTCTATCCATTTATCTCTCTTGTACCTTGAATTTTTCATTTTTATCATGTCCTAGCCTTAATTTTCTGAGAACAACTGGGATCATCGTAACGTGACATTCAGGAGTTTCTGGAGCCAAGACTTTCATCTTTCTCACATTTGGAGTCACTGAAGTCCCTTCCCCAAACAGAAAATGTTCATACTTGTCCAGTTCCTTTGCTTTTATCCTCGTGGACCGTCTTAACGTAGTTTTTATTCTAGTTTTTTTGCGAGCACTTTTCGCTTTGTTTTCAAAATCCAGAGATGCAATTGTCATTTTCGCATTTCGTTGTGTTTGCCTTTCGTCTTCGGAATTTTTTTTACATTTTCTTCGTCGTCTTCTTGTTTCTTGGAATATTGGGGAATTTTCATGTAAAGTAAATTGAGGAGATACCTTGAAGAAAAAATACAGCAATAGAATAATATATAAGCTTAGCTTATTAATATTTTAAAAATCAAAATATTAAAACTACCGTCAAAACTTTACCCATTTAGCTGTTAAATTGTCTACAGGAATGGACGGCGCCATATACGGGTTTCTAGCAGCTTGCACGGGTGTACAATAATGTTTTGAACCTTGAATTGGACTTTCTACGAACATTAAAGGAGGTTTAAACCTCTCCATCAACTCGCTTGGTTTTCGTTTCTTCTTTCTTTTGGACGCCATTTTGAAAATCCCTCCTCGACTCTTACCACAGGGAACCCGTACCAAAAAACCTTTCGGATTACCATATTTAGGAAACATTTTTCGGAACAAAAGTCTACAGCTTTTAAAATAAATTCTACGTGGTATTTTACTATTGGATAGAAAAAATGAATAAAATATCATTGCTGGTTTGATATCAAGAGCTCCTCGAAATCGGAGGATGAACGAGGCCGAGAAATTCTGGGTACGAGATTGGGACATTTTTAGCTTCCGGTTTAGTACGCATGAGTAAGGAGATTAAAAGAGACCGCTGGAACGAACACTCAATTTCCGGTTCCCTTGAATTTGAAGGAAATAACCGAAAAAGATGTCTTTATTCCACTATGTCACATATAAACTGGTAGTTATCAGGGATAAAAGGCTCGGTGTTGTATATTATGCCATTACAGCGTTAATTCTGTTGTATACTTTGATAGAGATTTTCGTTATGAAAGGATACTTGGAGGTAAGAAATTTCAATTTCATGGTTTTTCCTTTTCATTTTGGATTTTTGCTTAAACTGGATGAAGATTTAAAAGATGTTTGTTCATAAAGGAAAGTACGCATTTCCTTGACTGTTTTAAGTCTTTTATCATTTTTCTCGTTCAAATTTTGCTCACTCGTTAGTAATATACCACAGGAAGCCCAATATGCAGTTTGATAAAGGTTTTCTTAATAAGCCTTTTCATAGTTTAAGAATCGACTCCACTGCGCATGCGATTTTATCCCGAATTTCTCATCTTCTTAATTAAACAAAAGAAGGTGAAAAATTCGGGATAAAATCGCATGCGCAGTGGAATCGATTCTTAAACTATGAAAAGGCTTATTAACTTAACTTAACTTAATTCATGCCCTGGTAATGATGAATCAATCCCCCTCCTGGCGAACCCCATGCATTAGACTTTTTGGGCAAAAATTAGTCAACCAAATGATCAAATGCCCCACACATTTTTAAATGCTTGGTTTATACTCGTGAATTATTCCCATGGTTCTGCTCTCTTACCTTCACCAGGGGTATAGCCCCCTATCCTCACACTGTACAAACCTAAATATCTATGTAGTCATGTGATATGTTTGAATTTTATTCATCAGATAATTTGAGAAATTGACCATTTAGACTAAAGTGCGTGCATAAATTGAAAACCACAATACTGTGTGACTACATCAACCAAGGCCATTCAAACAAATTTTTAATCAAATTCACAAATCACATTTTAAATGCTGCATAACAGATGAATTAGTGAATTCTGGGTTTTAAACTGTTTTTTGTTCAGTTCAACATCAAACACTGCTACATATATTTCTTTGTATATAAATCCTTAAGTTATTTTATTCCTATGAAGCCCAAAGGGTGGCTAATGTGCTTATTTCACATTACTTGTGACTATAATTTATATTTTGGGGTGTTTGGGTATTTCTTTCTCCCTTTACTACTGATATTTTGATCATAAACTACAAAGAAATGTATGGAGCAATGTTCGATGTTGAGTGTATGACGTCACAGACTCCAAAAAATAATCGTAAAAATTTCATACTTTCGTCCTGAATGTCGAGAAAACACTTCATACAGTGATTATTGGACCTTTAAAGAGTATTCTTAGGAAGTTTCAGCTGAATCCAAGTTTGAGCGATTTTCGTTGTAGTAGCACTTTAAGTACTCAATCATGATTGGCTAATTTGTATGAAAATTTGTCTGGGTGGCCTTGGTTGGGGTAGTTGCACAGTAACGGCTAGATTTGCTAACTCCCAAACCATCATCACCTCAGGAAGCCCAAAAACCAAACACAGAAATGATTTGTTTGCTAACATTCTTATGTTTTGAAAATTCAAACTGTCCACTTTCTGGAAACTGTGTACTATCTGAAATATTATGCATGATTGTAGATCAATTTTTTTTTCTTTCTATTATGGGCTCAGTTTGATGAGTCACCAAAGGGTACAATGAGAATACTGGTATCTGATCACCGTGATGACCCAGATGTGACACAGACAAATCTTTCTCATCTTCCACCATATTGCTGTAATAAAGATGACATGGGTATGTTAAATGTTGGAGTTTGCATTATGGAGGCAGGGGTGGCAGAAGCTAAAAATCTTTTTGGGGGCACTGCAAAAATCTTTGGGGAGGCACTGAAGATTATATTTAACGCTATGTGATAATGACAATGTTTTGTTTGATTGCAGACACATGCGCTGTAAAACAATGATTAAGAACCAATATTTTTTGGGCGGCCAGGCCCCCCCCAAAAAAATTTGGTGGGAGGGGGGGGGGCACGTGCCCCTCCAGCCCCCCACTTCTGCTGCCCCTGGGAGGGTTTCATTAAGACCTGGAGACTGAAGAATGCTTGTATTAGTAACTGAGCAAAATTACCTGGCTTAATTTCCCATGACGTTCTATAATTTCAAAACTTTAATTTAAATCTTTAAGTTTTTGATCTGCCAGGACCCTCTAGCTAAGTTCTGCTCTTCTTCTATAATAATTAAAAAAAAGTCTGAAAATAAATTCATTGTTTTTATGATTTTTTAGTATAAGGAGGTCTCCGACAAGATTTTATTTCTTTTTAATCTTAAATTTTTAATAGCTTTAGCCTTAAGCTGTAAATACATTTGGGAAATCTGAGAACAGCTGGTAGGACAGATTCAGGAGCTGGTTATTAGAAAAGTAAAGACTTCAGGCCTCAGTTGAGGGATTTAGTCATGAATTAGGCTCCTTATGCTTCAAACAAAGATATTTTTTTTAAAAATCTTATAAAAGAAACTTTAGCTGGAAAAATAATTGTTCTGCCTTTTGTTCATAAGGAGTTAACAGCCATTTGACTCTAGCTTGTAGTAGAGCTTGACCAAATTAATAGTAATTGGTTTTTGGATTAATATCTTGAAACACCAATAATTAATATAGTTATATGCCCATTCAACTATTTATCTCTTGTTTTCTAGAAAAGAAGTCCAACAAAGTAAGAAAATTCTGTGGTTCTTGTGAAGCAGTAGATGTGCAAGAACTTTCCTGGCCTGTAGAATCCCAGATGTTGAGTTTGATGAGCTTTTGTAAGGATCGCTGGCAAGTGAAGCATAAAAACAGCTCTTTACAACAACAAAACTATGTTAATATTAGGTGAATTGAACTACATGTACGATTTCTTCAGTGGGGGAGGGCTTGGGGATTCCAAGTAAACTTTTACATTTACGTTCACGGCAAACGTGAAACGTCAGTTGACCAGTAAAAAATTCTTTTGAATTACTGAAAAAGAATCGCAAAAAAGTCCAAGTAGTAGAAAAACAAAAGAGTATTTGTCTTTGGTGAGAAGGTTTGTAAAAGGTAAAGTAAAATACAGGAAAACTACCTACATGTATGAAAAAAAGTCAATCTAAAACTCTCTAATAATTGTAGACCTCCCCTTAACACTTCAGTAAGTCAACAAGGCAGGGCCGTAGCCAGACCGACTTGTTTAAGGCCGGCTTAGACGCAAGGGCGGATCCAGCCAAAATTTAAGGGGGGGGGGGGGGCTAATTGAGTTTCTTCCGTCAACACAACGGAAACAATATAAAAAAGCATCGCTTTTTTCTGCTGAAGGGGGGGGCTTCAACCACCCTTTGCCCCCCCCCCCCCCCTGGATCCGCCGTTGAGACGGTACGATTTTTGCCTACAACTATCGTATACAACACGCTCACATCTGTCGTAGGCGAATTGTAGGCTTGATTTACAGGCTACGACTCGAGTTGTAGGATGACGCGAGCGTGTTCTATACGATAGTTGTAGGCGAAAATCGTACCGTCTAAACCGGTCTTTAATGAGGCAAACGAATGGTGAACGCAGGAGAAACTATGGGGGTTCGGTTTTGAAATTGAGATTTTGAAATGGAGACCCTCGGAGATTCCCAGAGATTTGAGGGGAATTTACGAGTGACATTATACCAATGCAACTGCCTTGCTTGCCTCAATGTGGCTACGACCCTGGAAGGAAACCTCTGAAACCCCAGCCGTCCAAATAAAATTGTACCTTCCCATAAACGGACTGGATATAATGTCCCTAAGGTTTGTGTATAATGTTGAATTTATTTTATTGCTATTTGTTCTTTTTAGAGAAAGAAAATACTACACTTTAGATCCAGAAGACGTCAAGATAAAAATAGAACATTCAATCATAGCAACACGTTTTAGCAGAAAATCAGATGACGCGATTGCCGCATCACAGAGAACATTAACGGGATTCTTGTATGACACTCAGGGCAATGTTATTAAAAGGTATAAAACACAGTTATGTCATCTTTTAACGGCATCATTTTGGGCAGACCCCACAATTCCCTCCTTTTTTGAGTGTATTATAATCTCGGAGATGTCGGAGATGTTAGTAAGTTTAGTTACGTACATTTGTATTAAAAAAAGATTAGTATAGGACGAAATCGCACGATCTCGACTACAATCCGGAATTTATAGGTGCGAGTGATGTTTTGAAAGTTTTCGAAATTGGAAGAGCATTGAGGCGAGTTCAGTTTGAGAACTTTCAAAACATCACGAGTATCTATATTGTACGAGAAGATTGTGCGATTTTTTGTTTATAATACACTCAAAAAATTTGAACAACTTAATTGGGACTCTACAGAGTACAATTTGGGATTTAATTGTACTCCTCTTGTCCAATCAGAATCGAGTGATTTTGTAGAGTGTAATATAAGTTAAAAAAAGGAGGGAATTGTGGGGTCTGCCCTAAATGATGCCGTACGCAACGTCTGCAACTTGCCATGCTCTGCTTTTGTCAGCATTGCACTGCAAGTTGCAAAAAACATTACCTCATGTGACAGGGCCTTTAAAGTATGACTAAAATTTAATGGCTTGCTTTTCATGTTTTAATGCACGCAGGATGTCCAGTAATGGTGATAAGAAGCATCAACGAGGCCAAGCTGATAAACTCACTGTACAAGAACTGCTCCATGCTGCAGGGGTCACTAGTCTAGATGACATATCTGATGCTGTTAATGCTAAGGGCAAGTCCTACAGAAGGCATGGCATTGTTTTACACGTCGTCATTGGCTATTACAATGCTGAGAAAACATGGCTTGGGACTGGGTGAGTATTTTACTTTGATGGTATGATCTGGTGGTCGTAAGTCCCCACCCCCATAAAAACTCATGTTATACTACAACTGTTGTTGGCAATGTTGTGGTTGTTTGTCAACAGAGTGCGTTGTCTGAGTTCGATAGCGTCAATGTTTTGTAGTATGAAAATATATCACTTCTATCGAACCCTGAAACAACCTCTGGGCTGATCATATTCAGGGCACGACTAAGTCACAGATTTAACTCTAAAACAACCTCTGGGCTGATCTTATTCAGGGCACGACTAACTGACAGATAGCCAACTGAAACATCCTCTGCGCTGATCTAAGTCAGGGCACGGCTGACTCACAGATCAAATACCCCCTGAAACAACCTTTGGGCTGATGTAAGAGGGTGCCAATTGGGGGGTACCCAATTGTCAGTTAGCTAATAATTTTTCGGCCGAATGTCAGTTAACTGTGATAATTTTACGAGCGCTGGCCATAATATTAACCAAAATAATGAAATATCAGTTAAACTACTAATTTTAGGTTATTTGTCAGTTAACTTTTAATTTTTTTGCCGATTGTCAAGTTAACTACTAACCCCATGGGCACCCTCATCTCAGTCAGGGCATGCACAGCTAGCTCGCTCGACTGATTACGACAGTCACTTGAGCAAATTATTCAGATTTTTCATTATATAGAAGTAATTAACGGAAAAGATAAAGTCATCAGCGCAATGAGGTTTAATTTTGTTTTGATTTTAATTTTAGGCCTATTGAGTATTCATATCATGTACATCGTATCCCTTATGCTGATTACCGCATCAACCAGATCATCCCTGTCATCAGCAAAGATGTGTTCAGTACGATACCAAATAACCCTGATACGAATAACAGCGGTGAAGATGATGGCCTTCAAGATACGATGGAGACTCGGCTCTACCGAAAACGTTACGGGATTAAAATCGAGTTTTATCAAAGTGGAAGATTAGGTACTGAATATTACTTTGATATTATTAAATTCTTTATATTCTTATTAAGAACCCCCTGTTATAAGCAGCCTCCCACTCCCCCCCCGTCGAATCTAATTGCCTATAGAGGCCGAGCGCAGTTTTGCCTTGAAACTAGTCGTCTCCTGGCGCTAAGCAAATGAGCTGATGTCTTATATAATAGTTATCGGCGTTTTCTTTGGCCTCTTGCCTCAAAGGAAATTAGATTCGACGTGGCAAAAGTAAGACGACTAAACTGGACATTAGTCATTCAAGGGCTTGTTTCAGGGTATTCATAAAATTGGTGCTATATATAGCCATTTAAAGTAAGTTTGAAAGAGAGCACTTTGTAATTTCAGGCATACACTTATTTCAATAAAGTTAGTCACCTGAAAAGCTATAAAGCTGAGGCCGACAAGGATTTTGGGTAGATTCATTTTACACGTTCAACCGCTTGATAACTGTTCATGCACTTGCGAATCTTTTACCGGTTACAGTCTCACCTCTTCTGAGCATCATCGAGCTGCAGTTTGTATTAAAATGCTTTGTATATATATGCTTTTTTGATATGAAAAGTTTCCCATGATGCTCAGTGATCTCAGCTTTCTAGGTTTTTGGTGACTAACTTTATTGAAATAAGTGTATACTAAAAGAAAAAAGAGGGCGGTTAGTGGCTACTAAAACGCCTTTTTTGCAGCAGCACTTTCAGATTCGTAGCAAAGCTAGATCGATGGGGTAAAAACGCACCATTTTTAACCTTTCGTAAGAAACCAGAAATAAGCTTTAGATTCTAAATTACCTCTCTTGAATAAAAACATCGTACTTTTTGTAATAGTTTTATTACCAATAATTGCATATTGTGATATACGTACTTTTCCCAACAGGTCGCTTCTCATTTCCTTCGTTTCTTCTCAAGCTTGTTGCTGGTGTTGGTCTGTTAACCTTGACTGCTACTATAGTAGACCTTGCTGCTTTGTACTTCCTTCCAGACCGGTTCCAGTATCGACAGTACGTTTATGAAGAGTCTCCGTTGATCCTTAAAAAGAGAAAAGAAGAGAAAGGAAAAACAGAATAGCATGCATCACAAAAACTATGATTATTCTCTAAACTGTCAAAAATACCTTCCTCGCGAAAACCATGCACATGTGATCCAACGTCCAAATTGCTGGATGAGCGCTAATTTATTATTAAAATGTTTCTGATATAAAGAATAATAATATTATGATAAATTCAATTTTTAGAATTTATTATGAATAATGAAATTACAAAAATGTTATGAATCCTTTGTGATATTTATACATGTATTTTATAAATTTTTGAAATAAATATGAGATATTAGTATCTTTATATTCTTGTCATCTGTGTGTGTCAGTACTTGTTTGCTCAGTTCTGCTTATGACTCATTGCTGCTCATCTCGATTAGTTTATGCTATTTTTAAGCACCTGTCCTTTTTTTTTATCTTGCAATTATTTTTATCAATTATTTTTCTCACTGCATATTACAAGTACAAATAAGCAGTCGTCGTTGTAACCATAGTTAATGGAGCTCTAACTATGTTGTAATATATCAAATATATACAAACAATAATATATACTTAAGCACTGCCTAAAAGCGGAGCTCCCGATACGGAAGTCACAGGGAGAACAATTTGAATGAAACTGAAAGATAAAATAAAATCGGGGAAAAAATCTTTAATTTTTTATTGGAGATGAAGATAATGTCTTCCATAATAAAAACCATGTCACAGTGATATCGAATAGAAATGCACTACATCGTTTTCTTTGCGCGAGTATACTTTCCACTCACCACCAGCCCCCCGGCCAGTTTTGTTCTTGGAAGATTCTTCGACAAAGTCAGTTATCCATGGCCGCCATTTTTAAACTTTGAATTCCTTGTTAACTTTACTTAAAAAAACGAATGATAACTACAGATAATCCAATACATTATCATGTTTAATGAAATTTACCTTGGATGTCTTTCATAATTGACAAGGGCGGATCCAAGGGGAGGGTCGGGGGGGTCGCGACCCCCTGTCATTCCTGAGGTCAAATGGGCTTCCTGTGGTAAAAATGCGACTGGGATTCCTTTGCCCACAAAATTTACCCCTGAGACCCCCCTTCAAAAAAACCCTGGATCCGCCCTTGACTGAAATCGAAATCTTGGAGATTCCCGAATTTTTTAGGACAAATCAAGACTATAAGCAGACTTGAAAACTGGTCAAAAAAAAGTGAGCAAAAGATTCTTGTAACATAACTAAGATATATTATATATAATATATCGCTCTGATTGGCTCTGCATCTAGGAAGAAAAAATGTATGGAGCAATATACAAACTTACAATTTTCTTTGTCAGTAAATTAACATTTGTAAAGGTGCAACATTGCACGCAATATTGCAAGCAACAAATTTGAATCGGGGTGACACACATTGCAACAAAATCACGCAACATCGCTTGTGTTAATTAGCCTGCCATGTTAAGACATTTGGTCAGCAGTTATAAATTTGGTGCAAGCTGATTGGCTGGAAACTTCAAAATGTTGCAGATAATGTTGCAACCATGTTCACATGATGAAATTCGTTGCGCGCAATGCTGCAACAGTAGATTCATGTTCAGGTTTTTGTTGCATGCAACGTTGGGGTAGACAAACGCTGCAACAGTCCTGTTGAGTGCAATGTTAATGCATGCAATGTTGTACCGTGTGTCAGCACCTTAAATGTTTCTGTCTTTAGGGAGCGGTCATTAATTATTGGGGGGGAGGGCCGGTAAATTTATGGGGAGGGCTGCGATTTTTTGGGCCCTCCATTAGGGAGGGCCAAAAATTTTTGGGCGCATGCTAGAGGAAGGGTCGCAATTTTCTGGGCCCCCATATAATCCACAAAAACCTCCTGTTCAATATGTATCCCACCTATAAGCTAGTTACAGAGTATAAGCCTCTGACTTTTTTGGTATGCAGACAAATTCTATTGATTTTATCAAAAACATTATTAATGAGTAATAACACGTCCAAACCATTTTTTCTTCGTATGTATGTTTTGTTCTACACACTATAAACTCGCAAAAATGTAAAAATACCTATGATTGAGCTGCGATTGTTGTACTTTCATTGCTGCTACCATTATCAACATCAACACTATCATGACCATCTTTTAAAATGAACATCTAAATCCACATTCTTCGCCTTGATTATCAGGATTATTGTAATCAACATCATCATCATCACGTACAACAT